AGCTGTCTGCAAGGAGTATAAATCCTTCCATTCCCCACCATCCAGTCAGAGCTGAAGAAGCTTCTTGGATGAGAAGCGAAATGTCTTCAAATGGAAAACAAGAAAGTCCAGTTGCCTCCTGAAAAAAAGCACCGTTAGGACAACCATGACCTGGATGATTGAGAACCTCCATAGACATTTACTTATAATCAAGAATATTTTTGAAGATTGACTGATCCCCTTTTGAGACTGTCTGACAGGCTAAGTCAGGGGTAGGCCCACTTTGGCTCTTTTATGACTGGTGGACTTCAACTCCCAGAATTCCTGAGCCAGCATGGCTCAGTTTGGAAACTCTCTCCCTTTCCCCTCAGCATGGCTGGCTCAGGAATTCTGGGAGTTGAAGTCCACGAGTCATGAAAGAGCCAAGGTGGCCTAGCCCTGAGCTAAATCAATGCAGAAGCCAGATTCACTTAACAACCATGAAACTAACTTAACAACTGCCGTGATTCACTTAACAACGGTGGCAAGAAAGGTCGTAAAACGAGGCAAAACTTACTGTACAACTGTCTCACTTAGCAATGGAAATGTTGGGCTTGACTGTGGTCGTAAGTTGAGGACTTCCTGTATTTTGTCCTTTTTCTCGTGAGTTAACAGATTTTCAAATTTCAGTTGTGCTATTTAAGGTTTAAAATGCAGCCATCGACCACCGAAGAGCCCCGGGTTTGCACCAGTCGTCCTCAGAGATAATTACCGAAGCGAGGGATAAAATGCACGCTATAGAAAGTTCCCCAGAAGGGTTATAAGTGAGGCTATCTGACAAGGCCGGCTAAAGCTCAGAGAGCAAAGAGCATTTGGCACCCCAAGAAAAGGCGATTAAGAAGCCTGAAAAAGCCTCTCCCAACTAAGCACCACTAATCTTGCTTCCTATTTATAACCTGCTTTAGTCTAAAGCCACTTCTGTGGTGGTGGGTCCAAGGGCAGCACAAACAAGCCCGGAAAAAAGATATTTAAGTCGTTAAGTTAAGATCCAGGAGGACAAAAAAAAAAAGAATAATTAGGCATCCAAGTTTGTAATCATCAGGAGGCAGGGAGTTCTAGTCCAGCCTTAGACATGAAAGAGGGGAGGGAGGGAGGGAAAGGAAGGAGAAACAGAAAGTAAGAGGGACGGAGGGAGGGAGAGTGGGAGGGAAGGAAAGAACAAGAGAAACAGAGGGAAGGAAGGAAAGGGAGAGAAGGAAAGGAGAAAGAGTGAGGGAGCAAGAAAAGGAAGGAGAAAGTGAGGGAGGGAGGGAAAGGAGAGAGAAAGTGAGAGAAACAGAAAGGGAGGGAAGGAGAGAGAAAGTGAGAGGGAGGGAGGGAGGGAAGGAGAAACAGAAAGGGAGGGAAGGAGAGAGAGAAAGAGAGAGGGAGGGAAAGAAAGAGAAACAGTGAAGGAGGGAAGGAAAAAGTGACAGAGGGAGTGAAGGAAAGGAGAGAGAGAGAAACAGACAGGGAGGGAGAAAGGGAGGGAAGGAAGGAGAGAAAGTGGGAGGGAGGGAGGGAGAGGAGAAACAGAAAGTGAGGGAGGGAGGGAAGGAGAAAGGGAAGGAGGGAAGGAAAGCAGAGAGAAACAAAGTGAGGGAGGGAAGGAAGGAAGGAGAGAAAGAGAGGGAGGGAGGGAGAGAGGGAAGGAAAGGAGAAACAAAGGAGGGAGGGAGGGAGAAAGTGAGAGGAAGGGAAGGAAAGGAGAAATAGAAAGGGAGGGAGGGAAGGAAGGAAGGAGAGAAAGTGAGTGGGAGGGAGAGAGAGAAGGAAGGAGAAAGGGAAAGTGCCAGTTGCCCAATGTCTCAATTTTGATCACATGACCACGGGGAAGGGAGATAGGGCGGTATATAAATTCAATAAATAAAATAAATAAATAAATTAAGTGTGAAAAACAATCATGTCACTTTTTTCAGTGCCATTGTCACTTCTAATGGTCACTAAACAAACTGTTGTTAAGTCAAGGAATACCTGGGCTTTTCAAAACACCCTTTCAGAAGATAGCGGAAAATTTACTCTTCTGGAGACTTTCACAGACTAACTGAGCCCCAGAGCTACATATATAATCCTTGACTTGAATGAATGAATGAATGAATTTGGCCACATGTGATTAGACACACAAGCAATTTGTCTCCAGCCCAAAATTTATCTTGCTAAGCAAGCAACTGTCAAGTGAGTTTTGCCCCATTTTACAACCTTCCTTGCGATTGTTGTTAAGGGAATCACTATAGTTGTTAAATTAGTAACACGGTTGTTAAGTAAAACTGGTTGAGTTTGACTTTGCTCGTCAGGTTGCAAAAGGAGATCACGTGACCCCGGGACACTGCGACCGCCGTAAATATGAGTCAGTTGCCAACTGTCTGAATTTTAATCACGTAACCTCGGGACACTGCGACCGTCATAAATACGAGACATCTGGCAAGCATCTGAATTTTGATCACATGACCATGGGGATGCTGCAATGGTCATAAGTGTGGAAAAACAGCCGTAAGTCACTGTTTTCAGTGCTGTTATAACTTCAGACGGTCACAAAACAACTGTTGTAAGTTGAGGACTACCTGTATTTTAATTTGTTAATTTGCACTGTGTTTTGTTCTTGTAGATTGCTTGTTCTGATATGCTTATCCTGGACTGCCTCAAAGGTGCCTTTTTTCATGAGGCATCTTTTTTTTCTTTGAAGATGTTTCGCTTCTCATCCAAGAAGCTTCTTCAGGTCTTTATCCTGAGGCGGTTTTATCTCATTTATTCTGTTGAAAGCAGCTGGGAGTCAATTATGATTTGGTGGCACAGAAGTTCACTACATTAAATAAATTGCTGTGAAATTCACCCTGGCTTTCAGAGGCTGTTCGTGCATTATAAGCCATGCATAAAATCCACTAACAGGGAACAGCACAGCGCACATGTTTCTCAGCGAAAGCAGCAATAATTAGATATTTCCTGCTTCAGTTGCTTGTCATCCTGTAAATAATTGGACAGCTCTAGCATAGATTTAATAATTGCCAAAAGGACATATAAGACGCTTCATTGTATTTAATTTGGCATCTGCCCTTAGCTTCTAAACTTCCATTCATCTCGCTGAAAATAAGTTTTTAGACAAAAACAAATCTTCATAGCTCTAAATATTTATCAGAACAGATTTCAGAAGCAATATTGGAAGAAAAAAAGACTTTTAACTTATCTGTTTCTTCCCATCCTTTCTGGATTCTGGGAAGTGATTATCATTCAGATTGTACTCTAATTTTGTTCAGAGTATAAAATTTCACTCAGAGAATTCCAAGTAATTTGGCAAAACTGACATTTCAGCCCTGAGAATTACTACCTTACTACTTACTACCACAATTGAGCCCAGCATTTCTGTTGCTAAGAGATATAGTTGTTAAGTGAGTTTTGTCCCATTTTACAACATTTCTTGCCACGGTTGATAAGTGAATCACTGCCATTGTTGAGATAGTTACAATGCTGTTAAGCGAATCCGGCTTCCCTCACTGACTTTGCTTGTCAGAAGGTCGCAAAAGGGGATCACGTGACCCATGGGACACTGCGACCGTCGTGAATATGAGTTGGTTGCCAAGTACCTGGATTTTGATCATGTGACCAATGGTCGTAAGTGTGGAAAATGGTCCTACTGTAAGTGACTTTTTTCAGGGCTGTTGTAACTTTGAATGGTCACTAAATGAACAGTTGTAAGTCGAGGACTGTCTGTATTCCCATCCTATTTGCAGAGAGAAGACAAACTGTTAAAGAATTATAGCAGTATTTTTTTAATTGATGTGATAATTCAGTGTGTCTCAAGACACGGAGGAGGAGGAGGAGGACAATGACAATGGGGTGTTTGGTGGTTTTTTTGCAGACATTTCATGACCCAGTTAGGGAACATCATCAGTGCTAGAAGAAAGTGGAGGAAAAAAAGGAGAAAGATGGGGAAAGGAGGAAGGGGAGAAGGAGGACAACTGTGGGGTCCTTGGTGCTCTCTGAGCTTGGTTATTTTCTTGCAGATGTTTCAATAGCAAACCAGATAACATCATCGGTGCTACAAGAGAGAGGGGATAATCTGGTCGCGCTGATGATGTTACCTAGTTTGGTAATGAAATGTCTGCAAACCCCCCCCCCCCAAAAAAAACACCAAACCGAGCTCAGAGAACACCAAGGACGCCACATATAAAATGTGTTAATAAATAAAAAATAAAATAAAATAAAATTGGGAACACAGCTGTTTGTCGGCAAAGGAAATGACTTTGGATGGTGATGAGAATTTATTTAGAAAGTGAGCAGAGCTGGCTGAATGGAGGGTAATGGCCATTTTAGATCATTTTAAAAGAGCCCCAGAAATTAGGGGATCTGGATTATGGCTCAGGGTTCAACAACTGCTGCCTGGCGAGGCAATGGGATCCGTAACCGGAAAAATTGGATGGGACTCACTTAACTGCCTTGCTTAGCAACATAAATTTTGGGCACCATTGTGGTCATAAATCGAAGATGGGCAGAGGAGAAAAATGGCCCTTCTCTGATCAGCTGTTAATACTCCAGGGGACCCTGGACTTAGCTGGGGTCAGACTAGATGACCTCTAGGGTCCCTTCCAATTTTTAGATGTTCTCATTGAACATTGGGCAGAAAAAAACCCCTCTCTACTTCAGTTACTGTGTCCACTGTACAACTATGGGATGCTTTGATTTGGACTCATCCGTGGAATAGGGGTTGGACTGGATGACCTCAGGGGTGCCCCAATGGTCCCTTCAATAGTCATTCTTCCAATTAATGCATTGGTCATCCTGTGCATCATTAAAAAAGGGCCGCCTCCCCACGTGCAGCGGGAGGACCACGAGGCCCATCACTCCCGGCCAGCCAAACCCCTTGGAAAAAAGCAAAGGGGAGGTTCGCGGAGCACCATAACTGCAGTGGAACCAACGCGAAGGGCTGCGGAATCCGGGGGAGCACATATCCGCAGCACACCGCCAAAGCGAAATGGGGCACGGGGGGACCCCGAAGCTGTTGCACTCACCTGAAATTGCAGCGCACAAGAAGTGCCGCCACCGCATGAGGAAACAAACCGGAGCCGCGTCCGGGAAGGATGACTCAAAGAGACGGGGCGGGCCATGACCGGGCCCCGCCGCCCCATGCAAGCTCCGCCTCCTACACGGGAACACTATACGTTCCGGCCGCGCTGAAAGGCAGCCTGGGAGAACGGCGCCGCTAATGACGTCACAGACGCAGGAGATGACGTTGAAAGTGCCTCGGCGGAGTCACATGCGTAGATGACCTACCTGTCGCCGTTCCGGGTTAAACCATTCGGCACACGTACGAGGGGAGGGCAGTGATAGGTTGAACCATTCTGGAGGAGGGGGAAGAGAAGAAACGGATTCGCAGCGTGGGAAAACAAGATCGAACCACCGGCAAGTGGAAAGAGGGGGGGGAGGATCAAACCATTGAGAGAACTGGTGGGGAGAGGACGTAGACCTGGGAGGCAATTCATTCCGAGGATGGGAAATGGCGCGAGATGGGTGCGAAGCGAAGTGTAGCCTCAATAAACCACAATTGGCTTAACCGTGGCTAATGAAACAAGCCACGATGGCTGGGCTTGGCCAAACTGGCCCGTGCTGTCGCCTTCATGGCTTTCTCCAGCCAGGATCGTACTAGATGGCTTGGACTACAACTCCCATCAGCCAGGGGAAGGCATGATGAGACCTGTAGTCCAGGGCATCAGTATGCCCCTGGTTAGCAAGTGAGGAAGGGGGTGAGGGCTTTTAGAGCAACATAATACAGAGGAGGGGTCTCCAAACCTGTCAACTTTTGACTTGTGGACTTCAACTCCCAGAATTCCTCAGCCATGCTGGCTAGGGAATTCTGGGAGTTGAAGTCCACAAATCTTAAAAGTTACTAAGTTTGGAGACCCTTATTTCGAGGTTGACTGCCTTTGATCATGGAAGCATTTTGCTCTCACTTTGTCTAAAATCAGCTATCACAGATGGAGCCTCCAGATTTCAGGGCAGTATACCTTGGAACCTGCTGCCATCTACAGGAAGTCTTCAACTTACAACAGTTCATATAGTGACCGTTCAAACTTATGGCACTGAAAAAAGTGACTTATGACTGTTTTTCACACTTAACGACTATAGCAGCCTCCCTGCAGTCAAATGATCAAAATTCAGATACTTGGCAAGTGACTCATATTTATGAGGTTGCAGTGTCCTAGGGGGTCATGTGATTCCCCTTTTGTGACCTTCTGACAAGCAAAGTTAATGAAGAAAGCCAGATTCATTTAATGATCCTGTTACTGAATTAACTGCAGTGATTCACTTAACAACTGTGGCAAGAAAGGTCGTAAAATGGGGCAAAACTCACTGAACAACTGTCTCACTTAACAACAGAAATTTTGGGCTCAATTGTGGTTGTAAATTTGTATTTTTTCCTCTGCCAAAGCTCTCGACCTGTTAACTGACAGCCCTACATTTGCACACTGGCTAGCCATGTTAAACCCATTTTTTATATATATTTTGGAGTTTGGTGCAATATTTCAGCACTACCAGAATGGTTTAAAATTATTCTACTTTAAGGTAGTTAATTTTAGCAGGTCTGATAGGTGGGTTGTGTATTTTTTTTTTGGTTAGTTATGTCTAGTGGCTGGCTGTTGAAAATTAGGAAGCCAGAGGCCTCCCCAAATATGGAACTTAAATAAATAATACCCAAATCACAATTTTGCAAACAGCTCAGAGTTGCAGATACTTTTTGAGAATGAAGTCCTTCAAAACTGTGCTTGAAGCTTTTTCATTTCTTACGTTCATTTGTTCATCCGTTCATTCATTCATGCACTACCCACACATTGACCTATATTTGGAACGAAATGCCCCTCTAAAACTTTATTTCCAACATTGGAGGCACAAAATAACAATCCAAAGATTATAACGAGATTTATTTTCTTCTCTTCTTCCAGTTCTCAAGCGCCTCGCATTATGATTCTGGAAAAAAGCCAAGCGTTTTAATTCTTCTTAGGAATTCCTAACCAGGATCTATTCCCAAAGCCACGTTGCACGTCAAAATGACTGCTCTGAGCAGGAGCTTAAGGTATTTGGGATATTCTCAGAATAGTCTGAACAGAAATACTATAGACTTGCAATCCAGAACTGAAATTTTATAGCAGCGATATTCTGAAAAGGATATAATAAACTTTGGAACAACTTAATTTAAAAAGCCTACTGCAATTTTGGTAACTTTTAAGATGGATGGACTTCCAAATCCCAGAATTCCCCAGCCAGCATTCTAGATGGGGAATTCTGGGAGTCGAAGTCCTCCCCTCTTAAAGCATACCGGCTGGGGGATTCTGGGAGTGGAAGCCCACCCCTCTTAAAACATGCCGGCTGGGGGATTCTGGGAGTCGAAGTCCTCCCCTCTTAAAGCATGCCTGCTGGGGAATTCTGGGAGTTGAAACCCTCCCCTTTAAAGCATGCCGGCTGGGGATTCTGGGAGTCGAAGTCCACCCCTGTTAAAGCATGTCATTTTTTGCTGTCTGAATTGGTTTCAGCATCCTGCAGGTAGAACCTCTGTCCAGATGCCTCCTGAGGGCTTGTGGGCTTCATACAACAACCAACCAGCTGAATTCGAATCGGACATCCATCGCTTGCTTTCCAAGAGCAAAGTACGCCCGGCTGTATCCAGTCCTCCTGATTAGGCAGGACGGATCAACTATTCACCTCCGGTACAAAGAACCGAGGCGTATCCTTCAGGTGAGTGTTAAACTCCCTGGCTTTCTTCGCAAAGACAGAGCAGGATTCTCTAAATCAGGGGTAGGCCATCTTGGCTCTTTTATGACTCGTGGACTTCAACTCCCAGAATTCCTGAGCCGGCATGGCTCAGCTTGGAAACCTCTCCCTTTCCCCTCAGCATGGCTGGCTCAGGAATCCTGGGAGTTGAAGTCCACGAGTCACAAAAGAGCCAAGGTTGCCTACCTCTGGCCTAAATCATGTTGCAACCATTCAACTTGTTTCTCAGCTCCTGTCTGGCCCTGTGACCGCCAATTTGCTTAGCGACCATGGTGGCTTGTTTAACGACCGCCACAAAAATGTACTAAAATTGGGTCAGTCATGTGATGATTCACTGAATGACCAGCATGCCTTACAACCTTAATTCTCAGCTGAATGGCGATCATAAATTAAGGACTTCCTGTGTCTTAAAGATTTGTTTCATGGTTAACTGGTTAAGCTGTGGTTTGTTTCTTTCACCCTTTCTTCTTACTAAAAACCGGGAAAGTGAAATACTGGCAAGGGAGAAATATATATATATATTCACAACAAGCAATATACAGGAAGTCCTAAACAGTTCATTTAGTGGCCACTCAAAGTTATAACGACACTGAAAAAAGTGACATTACCGTTTTTTCACACAACCGTCGCAGCATCCCCCCATGGTCACGAGATCAAAATTCAGACAGTTGGCAACAGAATCACATTTATGATGGTCGCAGTGTCCTGGGGTCATGTGACCCCCTTTTGTGACCTGACAAGCAAAGTCAATGAAGACAGATTCTCTTAACAATTGTATTACTCACTTAACAACTGCTGTGATTCATTTAACAACTATGGAAAGGTTGTAAAATGGGCTAAAACTCACTTAACAGATTTCTCACTTAGCGACATAAACTTTGGGCTCGGGTTGGTTGTAAATTGAGGACTGCCTATATATACGCATAAATGCACAAGATGGCAGAATTCCTGCAGGAATCTTGTGTGCCAAGCCACACATTTTTCTACCTCTTTAATAACTTGCGTCATATAAACAGATGAGTGCTTTAAAATTGTAGTCCTTGATTTACAACCGTTCACTTAGTGACCGTTTGAAGTTACAACGGCAGTGAAGAAAGTGACTTATGACCATTTTTCACATTTAGGCCCTTTGCAACATCTCCTTGGTCATGTGATCAAAATTTGGATGCTTGGAAACTGACTTGTACTTATGACGGTTACAGTGTCCTGGGGAGGTTACGTGATCCCCTTTTGCGACCTTCTGACAAGCAAAGTCAATGAGGAAGCCAGATTCACTTAACAACCATGTTACTAACTTAACAACTGCAGGGATTCACTGTGGCAAGAAAGGTAGAATGGGTCAAAACTTCTTGTTTAGGAAATTAAAGTTTTGGGCTCAATTGTGGTTGTAACTTGAGGACTACCTGTAACAATAAATGTCTTTTGAAGTCCAAACTAGCCTTTGGAACAAGGCAACGCAGCCTGGCTACTAAATGGGTTGAAAATTGAATTGAATAGCCTACAAGGGCAGCCCCATGCAGGTTCCCATAGCAGTAGTCTAGCCATCTGTCAACGCAGATACTGAGCGTTGTTGTCTTTTCTCCACTTAGATACCCGTGGACCTCAACACCCTCCCCGAGGCTGAAAGGAGAAGTCGGTTAAGGAGGAAGACCTTGATGAAATCGAAGAAAGAAGAAGTAAAAGTTACAACTTTTGAAGATGACTTTCAGTTGGAATATTACAAGAAATTTTGGAATAAAAAGTGAGATTTGGGCGGGGGTGTCAGTAAGACAAACGAAATTCTGTCTCAGCAAGTATCTAGAATGTTATAGAACAGGGGTCTTGAAACTTGGCCCTTTTATGACTTGTGGACTTCAACTCCCAGAATTCCTCAGCCAGCATGCCTGGCTGAGGAATTCTGGGAGTTGAAGTCCACAAGTCATAAAAGGAGCAAACTTGAAGACCCCTGGTTATAGAATGTGCGAAGATTGACAATCCACCCACAAATAAAGAGATTTCTTTGTAATTATTGTGTTTGTATTTTTTTGGGGGGGGAAGTGTTAATTTGTTTGAAGAAGGGCATGGGAAAAATTCAGGTTAAGCCACTTTGTGATAATGGGTAAAAACCCAGACATTTTTGGTTTAATGAGTAATAAAATTACCGGTCGTCCTTGAGTTACAATCGTTCATTTTGTGACTGTTTTAAATCACAACAGTCAGAAAATGGCCGTTGCCGCATCCCCGTGGTCACATATCAACATCTGCACCCTTGGCAGCTGGTGTGTTTTTACATCTTAGTGTAAGTCATTCTGACATGCAAAGGAACTGGATTTGCTTAATGACCATGAGATTCATTTAACAACTGTAATGATTCGCTTAACAGTCATAAAAAAGGTCATAACGTTGGGTGCAAGTTTTAAGAACGCTGGCTGAGGAATTCTGGGAGTTGAAGTCCACCAGTCATAAAAGGGCCAAGTTTGAAGACCCCCTGCTTAAGAACAACAATCTTGGTCAAAAAGAGGAAAATAGGAGCAGACTTCAAGATCTGTAGACCTGTGTTTCTTAATGTTGGCCACTTTTAATATGCATGCCAGCTGAGGAATTCTGGGAATTGAAGTCCATACCTCTTAAAGGGGCCACATTAGAAAAACCCTTGATATAATAGCTGAACCTATATTCCTTACCTAAATCTATTTCCAAACTTTTAGAAGTTCTCACTGCTCTAAAATATTTGGGAGACTTAATAAAATGTCCATGGCCCACCTTACAGGGCTGTCATTCAGATGAGAAGATGAACCAGCAGCCTCCTTATCTGCAGCGCTATTCACTGTTTTCTCCTTTTACAAGCCGTGCCTAAATTAAGTTTTAATCAAAGTTTGGGTCTCCTCAACATCCTCGCTGGCTAAGGAAGATGGACATTGTAGTCATACCCAGAATCCTGGGGGGAGAGGGGGCCTCCATTCCAATGCACCCAGAAGCACCCCCTCCTTCTTCCTGGGAAGAAGCAGGAAATCGCTCACTACCTGGATTTCTGCAAACCTCGTCCACTGCACCCTTGCTGGCTGGGGATCATGGGACTTGGAGTACTAACCCCACGACAGCACTAATTGGACACCTCAAATGCCCATCCCGCGAGGCATTCTGCAACAACGTTCCCAACAAACCCGACAGCACCATATGTACCTGGGGACTACAAAGCCCATCATCCTCAGTTCACAATGCCTCAAATGGCTGGAAAAAACTACTTCGGAGTTGGGAGGGGGAAAGAATTTACTACTTAGTTTATTTCTCCTCTCAAACCCATTTTTTTTTCCTTTTCTGCTTTTTTAAAACTAATTAAAAACTTCTGCCAGCGTTGAACGCTAAGCGGAGCCGGTCGTAACGAAGGAAATTTTCAATAAGCAATTCTCCCCCGCCCACCCCCGCTCCTTGAGCCGGTTGGTCCAGCCCGCTTCCTTCCCCCCTACAAGAACAGATGGTCGCGCCCAGGCTTGCGGAAGCGACGCCCGGGTTTTGCACGTGAGGCTGCAGTTAAGATTGCTGGGCTGGCTTGAACTGGCTGGCGGGGTTTTTCTGGGGGGAGCGGGGGGTCCTCGTCCTTTCCTGGGTTGGGGCTCCCCTTAAAGGGCCAGGGTCCTTGCAGTGCACCCCTTTCTTCTTTGCAATACGGTGGGGAGCCCATGCACCAGCCTTGAGGTCTGCAAACGGAGGGATCTGAAATCCCATCATCCCCAGCCGGGTGGGGCGCGTCCCAGCTAGAGTTGGGCACGGGGGGAGGGCTCGTATCCACTGAAGATTTAGCGGGGTTCCTGAGCTCCGGGTGGTCGCTGTCCAATGTAAGAGTATCTGTGGGGGTCCAGTTGGCAGAATTGGACCTCTTTGGGGCAAGGGTGAGGAAGGGGCACCCGGAGGATCTTGTTTGGGGGTGGGGGGACTTGACATGATTCCAGCGTCTCCCCATTAACACTTTTATTACCTTGTTTTCAAACTCCGCTCCTTTAAGATGCGTGGACGTCAACTCCCAGAATTCCTCAGCCAACTTTTAAGTCCTCCCCCTCTTAAAGAATGCCGGCTAGGGATTCTGGGAGTTGAAGTCCACACATCTTAAACTAGCCAAGATTGAGAACCGTGGTTTATGAGTGTTTTTTCTCTAAACTCTGGACTGACAGATGTGACAATGCTTCAAACTATGGCAGGACCCACAACAGGTCGTCCTTGACTTACAGCGTTTTTGTTTGGTGACCAAATTTACAACGATACTGAAAAAAGTGACTTATGACTGTTTTTCACACGACCGTTGCAGCAATCCCCCATGGTCACATGACCATAATTCAGGCAACTGGCATGTATTTATGACAGTTTCAGTGTCCCAGGGTCATGTGATCCTCTTTTGTGACCTTCCCACAAGCAAAGTCAATGGGGAAGTCAGATTCACTTAACAACCGTGTGACTACCTTAATCCCTGCACTGGTTCACTTAACAATTATGGCAAGGAAGGTCGTAAAATGGGACAAAAGTCCCTTAACAACTGTCTTGCTTAGCAACAGAAATTTTGGGCTCACTTGACTACCTTTATAACACTAAACTTAGGCAAATCATGAATACAATGAGCAAACTTATGCTAGCTTAGTACTCGTGACTAGGTATAACCTTTTCAATCAGAATAGAGCTGGAAGGGACCATAGAGGTCTTCTAGTCCAGCCCCCTGGTCAAGCAAGAGACCCTGGCCTATACTATTTCAAAATAGGTGGCTGTCCAGGTTTTTTCTTAAAAAATCTTCAGGGATGTAGCAGTCACAACTTTTGAAGCCAATTTGTTCCACTGGTTAATTGACCTCACTGTTAGGAAGTTTCTCGTTAATTCTACGTTGCTTCTCTCCTTCATTAGTTTCCATCCATTGTTTCTTGTCCTGCCTTCAGGTGCTTTGGAAAATAAGTTGACCCCCTCTTCTTTGTGGCAGCCCCTCAAATACTGGAAGACTGTTATCATGTCACCCCTGTTTCTTCTTTTCTCTAGACTGGCCATATTCCTGCAACCGTTCTTCATATGTTTTAGTCTCCAGGTCTTTAATTATCTTAGTTGCTCTCCTTTGCACTTTTTCCAAAGCATAAACATCTTTTTTTGTAATGTAGTGACCAAAACTGCATGCCCTGTGCCAGGTGTGGCCTTATTAAGCGGTACTAATACTTCACATGAATTCCTGCTTTAATCTGTCTTCTTTTCTAGATCCTGGTTAAGCCTCCACCATGTTTGGGTCCTCCCGAGGGGGTGTGCGCGGTGGGCAGGACCAGTTCAAATGGGAAGATGTGAAGACAGACAAACAACGTGAAAACTATCTTGGTTAGTCTTTTCCAATTCATGGTTTGTTTAATCAACTCCCGGGAGTTGACTCCACGTCTGTTTAAAGAACAGAACTGCTGGGTTCAAATATCTCCAGGTGCAAATTCGTTGCTGGCTAAGTTAGATTGAAACAGTGGAGCCATTTGTGATTTACTATCTCATTGTTTCTCAGTCTTGAAAACTTTAAGAGGTGTGGACTTAGATCCCCAGCATGCTTTAAGAGGGGTGGCCTTCAACTCCCAAAATCCCCAGCAGGCGTGCTTTAAGAGGGGTGGACTTCCACTCCCAGAATCCCCCAGCCAGTATGTTTTAAGATAGGTGGACTTCAACTCCCAGAATCCCCCAGCCAGCATGCTTTAAGGGGGGAGGACTTCAACTCCCAGAATCCCCCATTCAGCATGTTTTAAGATAGGTGGACTTCAACTCCCAGAATCCCCCAGCCAGCATGCTTTAAGGGGGGAAGACTTCAACTCCCAGAATCCCCCATCCAGCATGTTTTAAGAGGGGAGGACTTCAACTCCCAGAATCCCCCAGCCCGCATGCTTTAAGAGAAGTGGGCCTCCATTCCCAGAATCCCCAGCCATCCATGCTTTAAGAGGGGTGGCCTTCAACTCCCAGAATCCCCCATCTAACCTCTCCAGCAGTATTTTTCAATCTTGGCAACTTTAAGAGGTATAGACTTCAACCCCACGAATTCTTTATCACCAAGAAGATGCCCACCAACACTGACAGGGCAAGCCACTTGATTATAAACAGAGAGACTGTTCTTCTAGCACTGATGACATTCCCTAGTTGGGTCATGAGATGTCTACAAGAAAACCACCAAGCTCAGAGAGCACCAAGGTCTCCCTTAGATATTTCCCAGCTCTCCCAACCAAGGTGATATTTCAGAAGGACTAAGAGCCTCCCCCAAGCTATTCTCCAAAGCGCCTGAAGGCAGGAGAAGAAGCAACGGGTGGAAACTAATCAAGGAGAGAAGCAACCTAGAACTAAGGAGAAACTTCCTGGCAATTAGAACAATTAACCAGTGGAACAACCTGCCTCCAGAAGCGGTGAATGCTCCAACATTGGAAGTTTTTAAGAAGAGACTGGACAGCCATTTGTCCGAAATGGTATAGGGTTTCCTGCCTGAGCAGGGGGTTGGACTAGAACAGGGCTTTTCAACCTTTTCTCACCCATTGTACCACTTTTAGGATATGGCAACATCCGAGTACCACCAGTCGCCTAGCAAGGTGTCAAAAACTTGATGACCCCCCTCCCCAAAAAAGGAAAAAAGTGATAAAGTACAGGTAGTCCTCGACTTACAACAGTTCGCTTAGTGACTGTTCGAAGTTACAATGGCACTGAAAAAAGTGCCCCCCAAGCCACAGCCGAGCAAGACACCTGCCTGCCCACCCGGCGGCACTCTTCCTCCTGTCCGAGGTTTTCATTGTTGTGAGCATTTCTGTTGAGGATTGGCAGTGGGGGTGGGGTGGGGGGGGGTGTTTGATTTTTATTCCCCCCATCTGCTGGGTGGTTGCAGCAGGTTTTGGTCACTTCACATGACCTTGGGACACTGTGACCGTCATAAGTATGAATCAGTTGCCAAGCATCTGAATGTAAATCACAAGACCCTGGAGATGCTGCAACATTCCAGCTGATCGGCGCTTCTTCTGGGCTCAGCAGAAGCACCAGGATCAGCACAGAGCTCCAGCTGGAGCCTCGCACTGATCCTGGCGATTCCGCTGAGCCCTGACAGCCCTGCAGCTCCAGCCGTCTCTGGCTCAGGCTTGTGCAGTGATGCCACCGGTTCAGCTCATTCCCCTCCCCCGCTACCACTTTTCTAGGATGGTCGCGTACCACCTGCCAGGTGCCAATGTACCACAGGTGGTACCCGTACCACTGGTTGAAAAGCCCTGGACTAGATGACCTCCAAGGTCCCTTCCAATTTTACTACTACTACTACTACTACTACTACTGTTGTTGTTGTTGTTATTATTATTATTACCTTAACTCAGGGGCCTTCAAACTTGGCCCTTTTATGACGTGTGGACTTCAACTCCCAGAATTCCTCAGCCAGGTGTGGGAGTTGAAGTCCACCAGTCATAAAAGGGCCAAGTTGGAAGGCCCCTGGTCTGGATCCAAGCCCGCAGTTTCATCAAAATGGCCGACTGAGGAATCCTGGGAGTTGAAGTCCACCAGTCATAAAAGGGCCAAGTTGGAAGGCCCCTGGTCTGGATCCAAGCCCGCAGTTTCATCAAAATGGCTGACTGAGGAATTCTGGGAGTTGAAGTCCACAAGTCATAAAAGGGCCAAGTTTGAAGACCCCTGCCTTAACTGCTCTGTTTTCCTTTCAGGGAACTCTTTGATGGCCCCGGTGGGCCGCTGGCAGAAGGGCAAGGACCTCACCTGGTACGCCAAGGAGAAGAAAGGCGATGCATCTTTGTCCCGCAAGGAGGAGCTGAGCGCCATCCGGCAGGCAGAAGAAGAAGCTATGATGGCAGCGCTGTAAGTTTCAGATCCTCGGGTGGTCATCCTGGGTCTTCATGTTAAGCTTCACGTAAGCTCCAGCTCTAGACAGAGAGAGAAGATATTGCAAGGTGTGGGCAGGGAAGAAATAGCAGCAGACTTTCAGGAAGGAGGAAACGATACTGATCAAGGAAAATATTAGTGGCTCTGGGGTCCCTGGTGCTCTCTGAGCTTGGGGGGGAGGGTTTCATGCAGACGTTTCTTGACCCAACTGGGTAATATCATCAGTGCTAGAAGGGAGGGGAAGTTGCAAGGAGGAGGACTATGGTGTCCCTGATGCTCTCTGAGTTTGGTGGTTGTCTTGCAGACGTTGCATGACCCAACCAGGGAACATCGTCAGTGCTGGAAGGGAGGAGGAGAAGGAGAGCTATGGGGTCTTTGGTGCTCTCTGAGCTTGGTTGCTTTCTTGAAGATATTTCATGACGCAACGAGGGAACATATTTATTTATTTATTTATTTATTTATTTAACATGGATTTATATGCCGCCCTTCTCCCTATAGGACTCAGGGCGGCTTACAGCATATCAAAACACATAAAACATCGTCCCCCCATAAAAACCTATTAAAAACCAAATATTTTTTTCCGCTGTATAATTAATTAAGATTTAAATTAAAAATTGTCCCTATTTAAAAAATTCTCCCTAGGCCAGACCCGCTTGTTGAAAAAGCCATGTCTTGAGGGCGCGGCGAAAAGGTAGGAGGTCCGGAATCGTCCGGATCTCGGGGGGTAGTTCGTTCCAGAGGGTGGGGGCACCCACAGAGAAGGCCCTCCCCC